TATACTTGTATAAATTTGTTGTAATGTGATCGTTTGATAAGCCCATGTGGTAACAAACCTGTCGTTTCATCAGTTTAAAAACACTAAACGAAGGGCGTCTCGGCCCGTAACGTTGTGAACATTAAAAACAACAACAACATATATTTATCATTTTTGTGGTATATGTTTTTCTCCATCTTTGTACTCTATCCCAAGTACATTTTTGTGAACCAAATAACAGGTTATAAGATACATTAGAAACCAATAAGATAGCCTGGCATATTAGACATTAGTGAAAAGCCTCTACCAACTTAGTGTTAATTTTATACAAAAATTTATGTTACAGTTCTCTCTTTTATTAAAATAACAAGGTAAAACAAATAACATTTTTTAATCTGAAATTCTGCACTATTTCAAACACATTTTAGACTTCATCATTATTGAAGGATTCGATCAAATGGGACATGATCTATACAAGCTTATCAAATAGTTTTTATCTTTAATATGTCATCACCAGTGGCAGTCCATTAACTATTATTAAACATATGTCGTACTGACTGTCGATACAATCTGTTAAAGCAGCAACTTAAGAGAAACGACCTTTGATAGCAACTTTTGTTAGATGTGCACTCTCTCTCTTATCCCCGTTCGAAAGAGAGATCCTTGCTCATTCGCATTGTCTTGCAGGCTTACTATGAGAGTAAGTCACTGCTTTTATAGGCTTAAGTAATCACCTAACACATAATATATTTTGCATATGTGAATAAATAGAGTATACTACAAACGTAGGTGAAGAGAGGCCTTAATGAGGTAACAGATTATATATATTTTTCAGTTTATGTTTTGATGGAATACAATTAGTCTAAAAAATAATTAGTTTTTATGTATAAACCACAAGCTCTATTGTGTTTATATTCGATAGGTTAAGCATGTCACTCAAATGAAAGTTTAATTCATTAAGAATTATTAATCACAATCCATAAACACGCCTCTTTTAAAAAAGCATCACATTACTTTGCGAAATTGCCTTTTAGTAAGGATATTCGATTATCAACCCAGGTTTGACAAAAGATATATTTGGAAGTGCGGTTATATATATTTAATAAATTTTATCAACTACATTATCGTTTGATTTGTGAATATTATATATATATATATATATATATATATAGAAACTACGACTCCCCATATAGAACACAGTATAG